CAGACAGCCACCTACTTGCTGGATCTTTTGTTTGTTTGTTGTATTGGGGTACAGGCCAGAGGTGCAGGGGCAGTGAGAGGCTTCACTAGAGACAGAGCAGGTTGCAGAATAGGCATATCAAAGAAATACACTGCTGAGAGGAGCAGTGGGCCGGTCAGGAGAAATCTGCTATGTCATATGGGTCACCACCCTGGCTGGGGACCGAACTTGCACTGAAGCGGCTGTGACTACCTTGCAGTGCTGCGTCCTAACCCCTTGTGCCACCAGGGAGGGCCCATTGCTTGCTATGTCTTTAAATAGCATAAAGAAAGCTGATTTCTTCTTCTTATAAGGATGCTAATCCCATCCTCCAATCATCAGCCTAATGACCCCCATCTAACCCTGATTGCTTCCCAAAGGTCCCATCTCCACATATCATATTGAGGATTAGGGCTTCAACATATAAATTGGCATTGGGGCGGCTAAACATTTAATCTACAGCACAAGGGGACATAGCATCCTTGGCAGTCAGTGGGCATGCAAAGAAAATACAGCAGTGTGGTTTCGAGGTCTGAAACCCACTTAAAGATGAAGCATCGCTGAGATGACAAACTGGTCTATTAGGAAAGAGATTTTTATTTTCAGGAAAGCACCGGTCAGCTGGGTCAGGGATCCAACTGGAAGCCGCAAACCTGGGTTTGCATCTCCACAAGAAGGGATCAGAGCCATTTGGGACCTGGACTCATGGGCAGGGTCAGATCATGAGGTGGTCAGAGTGAAAATGAATGACAAGAAGAGAAATGCTGGCATATTGTTGAGAGAGCCAAAAGGATATGTGAGGATGATCAAAGAGAATGTTGGGCCCCTGGCATTTCAGGTCCTAATGCCAGTGTGTAACTATCACCCTCTGTAGCAAAGGGACTTTGCAGATGTGATTGATCGACTAAGAGATTATGCCAGCCTGTCCAGGTGTGTTGTGTTGTATCCTTTACTTGTATCCTTGCAAGGGAGAAGGAAGGAAATGTGGCGCACACAGAAGAGCTTAGGAGCAGATATTGGAGTGATGCAGCCATAAGCCAAGGATTGCCTTCAGCTTCCAGAAGCTGAAAGGGGCAAGGAACAGATGCTCCTCAGACCCCCAAGGCACTGTGACCTTGGTTTTGACCCAGTGACTCCCATATTGGATTGTCAAACTCCAAAGCTATTACAAGAATGAATGTGTTTTCTTTTACGTTACTAAACTTCTTACAGCAGCTGTAGAAAACGAATCCAGCACATTCACAGAACTAGCTCAGAAGAGAAAGTTAAGAATGTGGCTGTGTTCTGGAAACCAGAGGGAGAGCCAGCTTGACAGAAGGATGTGGCCCGTGGAGACATGCTTCAGAGGAGACTGAGGTGGGGACTGAGAAAAGAACACTGGGCCTGGTGGCACAGAGCTGGAGTGGGAGGTGCAAGACAGATGGGAGGAACTCGGGAGTGAATCCGCATCGGGAAATGAAGCAGTGGCTCAGCTCCCGCTCTGCTTGTTAATGAAGAAAGGAGAAAACAGTGATCACGGGTGGCAAAATTTTGGAGGTTACCTATCTTTTTTTTTTTAACTAACACTTCAAACCCCTGTTTAAAATTTCAACAGAGGGCCCTCCCTGGTGGTGCAGCAGGTTAAATCACAGCATTAAGAAGCTAAAGCCACCTCAGCATGAGTTTGATCCCCTCCTGCCCCAGAGGTGACCCACAGGGTGCGGCAGACCTCTCCTGACCCGCCCGCTGCTCCCCTCAGCAGTGTACTTATCAGTGGGCCTGTTCTGCTCCCCACTCTGTCTCTGGTGAAGCTTCTCACCGTCCCTGCACCTCTGGGCTGTATCCCAATTCTGTACGCATAAATAAATCTTTTTAAAAATTTAAACAGAAAGGTATAAAGTTGAATAGAAAGCATCCTTCCACCTTTGCTTCTGCTCGACTCCAACGGCAGCTACAATTTTAGTGTATATCACCAAAAACATCGTGTGGCTTGCTAGGATAGACAGAGTGTCTGTGGACACTCCAGATTTCTGTTATTAAAAGCAGTTCCAAGTAGACAGGTCTTGAAATATTTGTGCTGATGCTCATAGGTGGTTTCTAGTACTGGAATTACCTAAAACTCATCTAGGATTGCAGTATATTACCTGACCAAAGAGTTGTACTGATTTTTATAGTCTTTACTAATGTCTGATTACATGTTTCCTCACTTCCTGACACTGAGCTTTGTCAAACCTCTTATGCAATTGACCACTTGGTGAGAATTGCATATCATTGCAATTTAGATTTTTTTTGAGATTTATTTATTATTTATGCATGCAGAACTGGGGTACAGGCCAGAGGTGGAGGGGCAGTGAGAGGATTCACCAGAGACACAGTAGGGAGCCGGACAGGCCAACTGACAAGTACACTGAGGGAAGCAATGGGCAGGTCAAGAGAGGTCTGTCGCGCCATGTGGGTCACCTCTGGGGTGAGGATTGAACTCATGCTCAAGTGGCTTTAGCTTAGTGCTGTGCTTTAACCCGCTGCACCATCAGGGAGGGCCACAATTTAGATTTTTTATTTATGAATGACGTCATGAATTGTCTCATGTGTTTGCTGTCCATTAATGTTTCTTATTCTGTGAATTGCCTGTTTTCATGGCTTACCTGAATATTTGTGAAAATGACAGTTCATGCAAATGAGCCAGTTCTGCACACAATAACATGGATCAGTCTCACACACAACATGGGTCAAAAGGAGCCAGAGAGAAACCCACATATAAGTATGCTTCTGGTAAATGAAGTTTGAAGGCCAGGCAAAATCATGTGGAGTCTGGAAAGATCGCGGTCACCCCTAGCAGAAGAGAACTCACTTGAAAGGGCCCTGAGGGACTCGCCTGAGCAGACTAGACTCTGTTGGTGGAGGCTTGCTAATGTCTTGTTCTTGTCCTGCCTGCAGGTTACTTTGATGTCTGCTGGTTCTTTGAGATATTTCTTGTGAAAACTCGTCTTGCTGTAGACAGGCAGGGCACATGTTGATGTGTGTTATACTTCCATTAAAAAGAAAAGTGAGGGCCCTCCCTGGTGGCGCAGCGGGTTAAAGCACTGCACTGAGAATCTAAAAAAGCCGCTTCCGCATGAGTTCGATTCCCGCCTGCCCCGGAGGTGACCACATGGCGTGGCAGACCTCTCCTGACCCGCCCGCTGCTCCCCTCAGCACTGTACTTCGTCGATCTGCCTGTTCTGCTCCCCACTCTGTCTCTGGTGAATCCTCTCACCCTCCGCATCTCTGGCCTGTACCCCAGTTCTGTATGAATAAATAAATAAATCTTTAAAAAAAAAAAAGAAAAGTGAGGGCCCTCCCTGCTGGTACAGTGGGTTAAAGCTCAACATTGCGAAACTAGCTGCAGCCACTTCAGCGTGAGTTCAATCCCCGGGCTGGGGCTGACCTGCATGGCACAGCAGACCTCTCCTGTCTGCCTGCTGCTCCTGTATTTTATCGATCTGCCTTTTCTGCTCCCCACTCTGTCTCTGGTGAATCCTCTCACTGCCCCTGCACCTCTGGCCTGTACCCCTGTTCTTTATGCATAAGTAAATACATCTTAATTTTTTTTTAAAAAAAACTGAGCACCTATTTTTTTCGGTACATTCAAGGATGCTTAGATTGTGCTGAGCACTGTGGACAAGTCCACTTAGGACACCACCCCCTGTTCTGGATAGACAGTCTAGAATAAGGTACGTGTCAGATACTGAGCCCTGAACCTGGCGCTGCAGAGCACCTAATAAGCTGGTTCGTTTGCCTTGTGTGATTTGTGAGAGGGAGAAACGACGTACATGCGGAGACCTCAAGGCACTGTAGCTGAGCCAGAGAATGAGACTGTGTGCCAGAGCTAGGGAGAAGGAGGCTGCTGGGTGGGGCAGGAGCAGAGCAGGAGGGACCCAGGGAAGAATTGAACTTTTATCCCATGAGCCTACAAGTGATGAAGCTCTGGTGAGAGGTGTTAGCGGGAACATGGCTTATTCAGCACAAGTCAACTTCCTTTGCGTCCTTCCTGATGTTCTCCCAGCTCCCTGTCAGCCTAAAAGCATATTCCCAGGTGACAGAAACAGGGCCGCTTGGAATGGGACCCATGGGGGGAGGAGGTTGGGCCAGGAAGCCATCCCTAGGCCCTCACCCCTGCAGCCTCCACCAGGGAGGCCCCTCCATGCTTTCTACTCCTGCCTGAGGGCCACCACAGTCTGGAACCTCAGGCGTTGAATAGGCACATGGGGGAGCTAAGAGGTGCCTCCCAAGCTCTCCCCAGTCCTGCAGACTGTAATTGTGTATTTGGTCTAGAAGGAGCTGGAGAGAGTCCTGGCCTTGTTTTGCATCTGAGAAACAGAAGCCAGGCAGGTTGTCCTCATCACAAGCCAGAGTATGAGAATGAGCACTAGCCCTGCCCCCTCCCCTCTCAGCTCTAGGATTTCTGTCACGTAGGGAAGGGGCCTGGGGACATGAATTTAGTGGGAGAGGGGGACCTGGGGCCTGCCTTTGGACAGGTTTTATTGAAATAGAGAAAACAGCAGCCTGTTTCACTGCTTCAAAGAATGAGGTGCTGATGGAGAGGGGGGCGATACTGCAGAGGTGGACACTAGCCCCCCACCCCCCCAAGTGTTCCTTCTCTTTCACAGTCTGAAGGCAGCTAGAGCCTCCTTGCATTGCTACAGAGCCTCAGGTCTTTCCTGAGCTACAGAACCTAAAGCCATTGTCCTCAGCTTAAATATGGCGTGGGCACGAGGGGCTGTCACCAGCGTGGAGGAGGAGAACCAGGTGTGGGGAAGGATGGGCCGAGGGCGTGGCCGGGTGCTCCGTTTTCCCCAGAACTAGTCTGTAATCACCGAGGGGCCGCTTGCTTTTTAAATGTGGGTCCTGTGTTTACCTTCAGCAGCATTTTCTGTGTCAGAGGCCTGGAAGGGACAGTGGGGAGGAGAAGGGACAGGGGCTGCCGTCCAGCAGGAGTTTGATGCTGGCTCCTTTTGTTTCAGGGGAGATTCAGAAGCAAGAAGATGAAAGTGGTGCCGCCGCTGAGGCGTTGACCGCGCCGGAAGATGCCGGGAGGCCTGCTGTCAGCTTGCTAGCAAATCAGAAACAAAGCAAGCGCGTTCATCCTTCATTGCCCCAGCTACCTTCTGAGGAACCAGAAGTCAGCAGGCTCGGAAGGGGAATAATGAAACTGACAGAGGAGCGGACCGTTGCAGAGCCAGAAGGAGTCAGGAGAGAGAATCTGGTGGACAACGAGCGGGGCAAGACGGGTTCCCCCCCACCAGGCCTGGCCTCCAAGGGGGGGCCCCCCAAGTCCTGTCAGAACCCTTTTGAGTCCAGCCAGACGGCGGCTGAAGCTTCCACCCTGCGAGACGGCCAGGAAACACCAGAGGGTGGAGGGAGCACTGTGAAAACTTGAGGGGCGTGAGAGAGCGGGCCTGGTGACATGCCAACAACTTGGGGGACAGTAAAGATGGGCACATCAGAACAGCTTGCCCAAGCTGCTAGCTCCTGTAACTAACACCTCAGAGTCTGGAAGTGAGAAAAGACAGGGATCCTGTTGCAAACTGTGACCATTCTGATGATGCCAGCACAGTTTGATTTATTAAACGCGGGTCCTCGAGCTTCTCGGTGTCATCTCTTTCTACCGAAGACGTGCTGCTGTGAACATGGCCGGGCATGGAATCGTGTTGGCCATCTGGCTGCTTGTCGGCGTTCATCTTTCTGTCAGCATTTGTTTTATTAGAGATAAGATGTTTTTCTATTAGTGTTTAATGTTGTCTATCAAAATTATGGGAAGAGCTTGAAGCGGATGGGTTTTTAATCAGGTCCCGTCTTTGTTGTGGCCAGGCGGCTGGAGAGAAAGGTGTAATTGAGCCTAATGGGTTCCAGAGGGCCCACAGCTCCACTTCATCATGTCAGAGCCCAGGAGACCCTCTCAGCACGGGTATTCTTGGCAACCTGCCCGCTCACTCTGTCGCGGCACCAACTGGCAGGTGGAGAGGGGCTTAAGTGGGCTCAGAAGGTCGGGCTTCCGGTTGGAAATCCACAGCCCCTGTTGAGACATGTTTGCTGATAGAGCTGAGTTTTCCAGCCTGTAATTCTGGAGGATTAATTGACCCGGGTGATGGGGGAAGAAACAGGAGTCCCTTGGTGTGTTGATGTTTTGCCTCTGAGATGTGCACTAGAGCGGGGAAGTGCAGGTTCTCTCCATTCAGCCTGTGCTGCATAGAAGCTTCTATGCCGGTTGGGGTCAGGGCAAGTAAAAGTTGCTTAGGACCAACCCAGTTTCCTGAAACTTCAATCCCTGGGTTCCTCCGGCAAACTGTTCAAGCTGCCTCCCTCGGCCCAGCAAGTCTAGGTTCTTAAAGAGGAGACACAGAGCTTATGGCCTGGTAGTGAAAGAGAGGAAGACAAAACAGCTTTATTACCGCCTGTCTGGCTGCTGGGCCCAGTGCAGCCCCGGGGAGGGAGTGGTCAGCCTGACCTGTTCTTTCCTTCAGGATAAAATTAGCTTCTTAAGGCAGCATCAAACAATAGGCCTTTTTTTTTTTTTTCCAGCTGAACCCAGCTCATTTCCCCAGGAAAGCCTGCTACCAGATCCCGAAGCTCAAAACTCCCCTCCAAACCATAATTTCCTTTGAGACCTTCTCCCTCAAGATAAAAACAAGTGCCTGAGATGGGAGGGCTGGAAACTTCACCCTAAAAATCAGATGTCTTTACGGGCTTGCAGTTGCAGGTGTCAAGCCTGCCCCAGGGTGGCCAGTGCCTCCTGACACTTGGGATCACACTTCACCTCCTGACTCTCTCCGTGCACAGAGTAGGCGCCATCAGAGTTTCTGTCTGTGAAGAAAGGAAGTGCAGACGAGGGTCTGGTCCTCCCCGAGGGCACCCTGGGTAGAGCTCCAGCTGCTGTCTTCCTACTCACCAGAGGTCACCCCCCCCCAACGTGAAATGGGGTCAATACTCTGTAGTCGCAGGAGCTGGCCCCCACCACCCACCTGCCCACCTGGCTCCAGTGCCCCATTCAGCCTTCCAGCCTCGCGCTCCCCACCCCAGACACCCCCACCTCGCTGGCCGTTGGGGAGGGCACTTCTGCAGCTGCAGATCTCAAACAGGCCAGCAGCCACAGAAATAATTTTCCTGCCGCATGAAGCCTTAACTGTCTGCAAATGTTCAGCACCACTGCATAGGACGCCAGAGCCACCAAAGGAAAGCACAGCCAGATTTAATACAATAATAATGAAAAGCTCTCGCTGCTGAAGCTCGGGTTTGACACGCGGTCAGCCAGGTGCACATACTTAGGGCTCATTCGTCACCTTCTGGAAGGAGGCTTTATCATAAACAGCCTGGGCAGGAGAACGCCGTGAGTCCTGGAGGGGGTGTGGGGGGGTTTCAGGGTTGGGTGTGCACATATCAGGGAGCAGTGACCGAAACTCATCAGCAGTCAGCCTGGTGGGGGCTGGATGGTGTGGGTGGGCACAGTGGGGGCCGATGCTCTGGTTCTGTCACGTGTGCAGCCTTGACAGTGCCCCAGACACACAAGACACTCTCCCATTTTGTTGTCCCAACCCAGCATGGTTCTTCTGTCCCACAGACATTAAAGAGTTTCAGCTGTTACTTATGGTTGCCTTTTGTCATTCTCATTATAATTGAGAAAACAAGCTGCTTTCTCTCCCCTACTCCACCAGACAGCCCTGCCCCAGGAAGGGAGCCTGAGCTACAGTTCCCACGTAAAGAAACTTAAGCAGTCAGGAAACAGTGCGTAACAAGGATATCAGAAGTAGGGTGTTGCAGGGCGCTTCTTTATCAAGGATCTGGGTTTCTGGCTTCCTGCCTCGCTCTCAGGACCTCCCTCATGCTACCAGGTGGCTGCAACCACTCCTGACATCACCTGTTCTCATACTGTGTCCAAAGGAAGTTTCTCCATGTGCACGTGTGTGTGTGTGTGTGTGTGTGTATTTTGAGAGCAAGAAAACCACTTCTTGGGACATTTCATTGACCGGAATTGCCACATGCCTCTATCTAAACTCACCCCTGGCAAGGGAGGTGAAATGACTGCGATGGCTCGAAGTTCATCGAGATTGTGCTCTAAACTGGGACAGGGTCTGTTCCTGGACCTGTGGACTCTGGCAGGCGACACCTGAACAGAATCAGGGTTTGAGAAGTGGGGAGCGGGGCAGACATAAGGCAGTAGCTTTATCTCTGAGCCACACGTGTCTGTTTTTGTTCTGTTTGACTTTTCCTGAAAAAGCCAGAATATTATACTGATGAGCTTTGGGCTTGGGGGGAGGACAGTGGCTTGTTTCCCTCTTTGTGAAGAGAAGGTCCCCGTCTCTCCCTGCTTCCTTTATCATCTGTCCTATTTCATAGCTGGAACATTCCCACCTTGTTTAACTCCTCAAGTGTGTCTGTCCTTCCATTATTTTTCCAGCTCGGTTGCCAGCAGACTGCAGAACAGTCTGGATAAATGAAACAGAGCTGACAGGTCTCTTAATGAAAGCTTGTTTGCACACACTGCATTTCTCCTGAGCACTCTGTACCTGGAGTCTTCAGGTGTGGATTTTTACATATGAGTGTTTGTCGTGCTTTTAATTAAGTCCTGTGGAAATGGATTGGCTTTTGTAAGCCAGGCATTTCTCACCCCTAACTCCTTCTCTTCCATGCCTCTTCTGCCCACCTTCCTCCCTCCTTCCCCTTTCTGCTTCCCTCTATCAGCTCTTTGAGAAGCCTCTGTAGCGAGGAGCTCCTGATGGCATTCATCTGGCTCCCCGCTGGAACCTCCTGGCAGTTGGCAATCTTAAATATGCAAAATTAGCTTTCCCCTCCTTGTTCCTCTTCTCTGCCCTGGCTCCCAAGCACACATCACCATCACGATGTGATGTCCTAAGAAAGGGTTCTGGTCTCAGTCATTCACGTGCAGGAGTGCAAGTCTGGTTGTTATTCAATTGGGACGTTTGCACTCCAATTTGCCATTTGACATCAAAGGTGCAGTCTCCTCTTAAATGGTTTTCAAAGAACAGCTACCTGCTTATTGGGGTGATCTTCACGTGAAATGACATGCCTAAGCCCCTCTTGGTTTTCTGCTCCTCAAAAGAATGTTGCTCTCTGCAGGTTCCATTTTTCCCTTACCCTTGTGGATGGTGTGGTACACTACGTTGTGTTTGCAAAAGGTGTCTGGTTGAGCTCCGCCCTCTGCTCCCTGCCTACATTCTGGAAACCTCCTCATTTAACAGCCTTTTCTCGTAATGGTATTGAGGCTAACTTCACATGCTCCTTTAGGCTGTCAAAAAGGCAAAGGCTTCCCCTCCACTCTCTCCTTTAACATGCTCCTTTTTTCCAGATGTCTTTCTGGACAGGGGAAAACTTGTGGAGCAGAGAAATGCAATGGAGAACTCAGTAGTAAATCTGATTAGAAAAAGAAACAGAAAATAAAAAGGACCCAGCTTGATGCTACGGTTGCTCACAAAAACAGAGCAAGCTGATCCACATGAAAGCAATTTACGAGATTGTTAGCGAACATTGCCTGGCGCCTCACGTCACCCCTTTAGTAAACGAGCGTGTGTTTGGATGCTCCCGGAAAGTGCGTGGTACTGACAAGTTTGACCTTCTGGAGTGTATGCAAGCCCGAGAGTACATTTTGGATCTTGGAGAAGGCCAGTGGTAGCCTATGAAATGGAAAACACTTGGCTTATCAAAAATAAGAAGTAAACCAGCTCCTGTTTTGTAGTTTAATTTAGAGAAAGAAGTAACTTCTATTCATGTGCAGACCTTGCGTTACTGAATTCGATAATCATCGTGTATCATAACTATATCTTGTTTTGTTACCTGAAATAAAAATGCGGTTATCTCCCTGAGAGAAATTATTAATTATCCTTATTACTTGCGTCATTCTCCCACTCTGCCCTCACCACACACCAAGCCTAGGCTGAGCGTGGCTCGAGCACAGTGAAGTGACTTACCCGTTGCAATCTGTCAGCTACAATTACTAGTGTCTGTGGTAGTCGTGAAAAATATGCAGAATGTAAAGATTTTATGCATCCAGCCCAAAATGCCAGATCTAAAATCGGTTGATTGCCTGCAGTCTTTCAAGTTGACCAGAGCATTCACTGATTTGCTCTATTTTCTTACGTTTTAATATTTCTGTATATACAGGCACTGAAAAGCCCCACTCGGAAAAAATTCACTGCAATTCTGAGAAAAAGCTTATCCTAAACATCTAAAGATAGCATTTCTAATTATTGTCTACATTGTGTTTAAACTGTGCAAACTTGAGCATTCTTCTCACTTTACCAGCTGTGTCTAGGTAGAGTCATTACATCAAACGCTTCTAATTTTACAAAAAGAAATCAAAACAAGCGTGTGTTTAAGCCTCAGTGACAAATGCAAACCCTGTGAGTCAAATAGGCAAACTGATTAGCAAGCTGGTGGGGAAGTCAAAACAGCAGATAGAAGATTAGCAAAATAGATCTGTAAGAAGAGTAAAAATAGACTCCGGGGCCAAGTGGGTCCAGTGGGTCGGTCTGGTGACACCTGCGATTCTGGGCCAAGGGCCAAAGGCCAGCTTTCGTGACCCACAATCCTCGCTCATCTTAGATCCCCTCTCCTGCAGGAACTGGGTCACAGTGTTCATCTCATTCAGCCTCTTAACAGATACAGAAACCCTTACAAACCTAATAGTTTCCTGCCTTCGTTTGAATCCTTCTCGCTACGGGAGGCTCACTACCTCACAAGGCAGTCCAATTCATGAGTAGGCGCTTCTCTGACATTAGCCTCTGTTATTAGTTAGACATCTCTGAGCTCTTATGCTATATACCTCATGAATAACACTCGATTTGAACGTCACAACAATTCACTGTGATGTTCTCATAAGTGAGAAAACTCAGGCCCAGAGAGGCAAGGTGGTTTGCTCAGGTCATACAGTCTAAGTGTCCTTCCAAACTGCCCTTTCTCTTGAGCCTGCATGGTCAGCGCCCATGTGACATGAAGCTCTTTGTCCTTCCAGTGAGCCATTACACACCCTCGGATACCTCCCACTCTTTGTTTTGGGCTCTGGATGCCATGGGATTGCTTATCAGTCGCATTAGGACTAATGATGGTAAAGAAATAAAATGGGTCCCCTGGGGTACCTTTGTGTCTGTGGGGGCACAGGCAGTCAGAAGAGAAACCGAGAACTAAGCTGTGATGATGTGAACGTTTGTTTCCCACTGCTGCCCCATTCATGTGTTGAAGCCCTCACCCCCAACAGGACGGTGGTAGGAGGTGAGTCCTTTGGGAGTGGGCCCCCAGGTCATGACGGAGGGAGCCCTATGAATGAACAGGTGACTAACAGGGGCTGGAAGGACCCTGGCCCCTCCCACTAGCTGAGGATGCAGAGAAAACGCCCCTGCTATGAACCCCGAAGAGGGCTCTCTCCTAACCAGGATCTTGGACCTCCAGCCTCCAGAGCAGTGAGAAGAAAATTCCAGCCTCTAGAGCAGTGAGAAGAAAATTTCTGGTATTTCTAAGCCACCCACCCAGTCGAAGACTTTATGTGATCGAGGCCTGCAAGGCTAAGAAGGTATGAGAAGCACGGGCCTCCTCCAGAAAATTAAGTCCAGGCCTCTATGATTCTCCTGAATTAAGCCATCAGCTGGAGAGCAGAACCCAAGCTGGGAGTTTGGCATCTTATTCCTCGCCCTCGCGTGTTCCTGCGTAATTGCTGCTTCGCTTTCACAACTTTTAATTGTGGGGCTAGGCAAACACATCTATTTGAGACCAGGATATTTAAAGACTCTGCTTGCTAATTCCCTTTCAGTGCTGACCTGTAGAGTTCAAGGTAATATTTCAAGCCAGGGAGAACCAGTCAGTGGAGCAAAGTCGCCAGGAACTTAGCCTTTCTCTCCCGTTGTCACTTGGGTTTAAGCAAAGATTTTAAAATAACAAGTTAGTCCTAGTAAGAGGCAAAAATAACCACTGGGGACGTGCTTCTGGCTGAGCTTCAGTTTGACTCACAGTCTTAGGAATCTGGGAGAAATGGAAGTTGCCTCCAAGTAACTGGGGTAGAAACACAGCTGTTAGGAAGTGGGTCTGCCCGAGGAGGGTGTTTTATCCACGAGATAAAGGTGGAGAGGCAAGACAGATCGAGTCTGTGCAAAGTGCCCTGACCCGAAAGGGAAGATGAGCCGATGACCCCCTAAGAAAGCTTGAGCTAAGCAGCGCACCTCTTCTGCTCCACCTGCCTGTGTCACGCAGAAGATGAAGGCCATCGTGCAGTGGCGGGAAGGCTGAGGACTTCAGATACCAAGGCCGGCTGTGTGGCCCTGACTCCGTCTCTGGCTGCACCCCCCGCCCCATTGAGAAGCCCCCAGGTCCCAGTGGAGTTGGGGTGCACCTCCTGCCGGGAAGCACCCCCAGGGAGCTCAGTGCAAACGGATTTCCTTCTCTCCCTGTGAGTTTCAGAGCTGTGGGACGAGCCCAGGAATTGGGGTATGCTTTTGCTCACTTCCCTGAGCAATGCTGGTGCCCTCTAAGTTGGAAGCCACACTGGAGGTCACGACAAGCATTGACTGAGCATCTCTGTGGCCAGCAGATTTGGAAAAGGAGAAGCAGAGTCTTGTAGGGATTTAGAAAATATGTCTGCTATTTCCAGAAAATAGTCAAGCTGGGGGAGAGTAGTCTAAAACAAACAAACACAAACAAACAAAAAAAGCGAATAACCCAGGCCTGGACGCAGTGCTGAATTGCTTCGTTTTTAATGTGCAACACCAGGATTGCCAAACAGCCCCCAAAGGAGCAGCGTTCTGCCAGGGAGTGGCAGGCAGGACACACTTGACGATGACAGCAGAAGCCTGACTTCCCGCCGCAGATGCTGGCAGGGCTCACAGGCGGTGGGTGGGGAGAGAGAACCCCAGGCAACTCCTAACGAAACCCAGAGGCTTAGGAGGAACCTGGGGGTGAGGGAGTTGGGTCCCTGCAGGTTTAGAGGTATCAGGACAATGTCTGGAAAGGGACCTTGGAGGAGTCTGGGAGGCCTTCGTGGCGGCCAGAGTTATTTCATGACCTCTGAGGATCCTTAGGGTTTGGAGTGGATCCTCCGAGGTTGGGGTGCCCTTCAGATGGAGGGCGATGTTTCATGCTGGTTGGAGACTTCCATGGGAAGGGGATTTGGGGACAGATGTCAGCCACGGCAGATGCGACTTCAAGGTGGAGGCTGCCTCTGGGCGTGGAGAAACTCCGGGCAGAAGGTGGGTGGTGTTCTCCGGGCGTTGAGGGGCCCCCCACTGCGCTGGGTGTCCCGGGCTGCAGGGACGGCCCCCTCAGGCAGTGGTCTTGCACTCGCTGGCCCGCCGCTGCTTCCTGCGCTCCGCGTGCTCCTGCACCTGGCGCGCCCAGAGCTGCGGGCCGCACGCGCTCACCACGCAGCAGGCGAGCCGCGGGCCCGCGTTGCCGTGCTCCAGGCTGGCGGGGTTGCCGCCGCGGCCCAGGTCGTCCAGCCCCTCGTGGACCACCAGCGCGCGGCCCATGATGGAGTGCGGGCCGCTGAGCTCCGGCGCCAGGCCAGTGCGGTACTTCCAGACGCGGCCGTCGCGCACCGCGAAGTTGCCGAAGTCGCCAGGATGCTGCGGGTGCCGCACCACCAGCGGGTTGTAGTGGGGCCCCGCGGCCTCGCAGCCCTGGCTCAGGTCCCCGAACTCGTGCACGTGGATGGCGCGGCTGGCGTTGCTGTCGGCCGGGAAGCCCTCCAGGTCAAAGAAGGCCTCGAGCAGCGCGCCGGCCGACAGCTGCCGGAACAGCACGAGGCCGCTCACCCGCGGCTGCTGCGCCTTCAGCGAGGCCGACGGCTGCACCCGGCAGGCAGCGTGCAGCGTGCCATCGGCGCGGATGCCCGCCGTGCGGTGCAGCTTCAGCCCCTGCCAGATCTCTGTCACTTTGTCGTACATGTCGCGGATCTGCTCCTGCGTGTGGGCGCCCAGCCCCGCCGCGTCCAGGCCGGTCCCGGTGGCGTCGGCGCCCGCCGCCAGCAGCAGCCAGGCACAGAGCAGCGCCAGCATGGCCCGGCACCTGCGGGCACCCCAGGGAGCGGAGCCGGAGCGAGGCTTAGTCACTGGAAACACGCACCTTCGGGATCCCAGAGGTACGACCCCCCGCCCCTCTCCGGGGCGCCCCTGGCTGCCTTGCACCCCCTCTTTGGAAAGCCCAGGTTTCTCCAGGCTGCCAGGTGCTGTGGTCGCAAAGGTGGACTAGATGTCCCTGGAGGAGGTCAGGGAGCTGAGCCACAGATGTGGTCATGATCCCCGCAGTCCTCTCTCCCAGCATGGAGGCGAGAAGGGGTGTCTTAAGAGGCATGGGGTGGGGGGAGATAAGGATTCTCCCAGGTCTCCACCCCCTCTCTCGCTGCCTCTCTTACTTAACACTTGCTGGCCCTGCCCTCTGGGTCTGTGCCCACTCTCTGCACCACCTGAAGGCTTGAAGACAGAAACTTGGTTTTATTCTATAATCTCCCCAGCTCCTGGCCCCACACTGGCAATAAGAGACACTTAAAATGGGATCGTTGAGGCCCTCCCTGGTGGCGCAGCGGGTTAAAGCATGGCACTAGGAAGCTTAAGCCACTTCTGCATGAGTTCGAACCCCCCTGGCCCGGAGGTGACACGTGGCGCGGCAGACCTCTCCTGACCCGCCCGCTGCTCCCCTCAGCAGTGGACTTCGTCCATCTGCCTGTTCTGCTCCCCACTCTGTCCCTGGTGAAGCCTCTCACCGGCCCTGAACCTCTGGCCTGTACCCCAGTTCTGTATGCACAAATAAATAAATCTATAAAATAAAATGGGATCGTTGAAATGAGGGGTCCATTGACAGTCCTGCCATCATCTCATCCCAAAGCCGTCCTGTGTCTGAGATGGGAGCTTGTGCCTGAGTAGGGCAGAGGAAGTAGTGCCCACCTCCCTGGGGAACGCCAGGAAGGCTTCCCTGAGGAGGTGACTTTTGAGAAGGGCCCGAGAAGACAAGTAGGAGTTTTATAGCCAAGCCGAGTAGGACTCGTGTTTCAGGCTGGAGGCTCACTGTGGTATGGGCTGCGGCTGTGAACCTGCAGTTTGTTTTGGGGGGACGGAGAGAAATGCACTGTGGCTGGAACATGACCTGCACCAGCAGGAAGAGGGCAGGCCGGAGAGGGAAACTGGAGCCTTTGCACTAAGGGGTATGGATTTTAGCTGGGGAGCTAGAGCAGCTGAAAGTTTTAAGTAGAAGGTGGGTGGCAAAGTGTTTTTTAGTTCATTAAGTGTGGCAAGAGAAAGGACGTGGTCTGGACTCTGGGTCAGAGACACATGGGAGAGAAAGAGCTGGAGAAGTACAGATGGGGGAGGGAGAGGGGCCCGCAGCCCCTGGGCACCCCCTTCCTTTCACCCAGAAGAAGGTGGCAAGGGTACAGGAAGGCAGGGAACTGGGGAGACACCTAGGGCGGGCAGGAGGGAAGGAGCCAGAGCCCATGCACATGACGGGTTGTCCAGTGGGAGACCGTGAGGGCTGTTGGGAGCCGCTATCAGACACGGGGTCCAGGGAAGGAGTGCGGGTGAGTTCAGCCCAGCCCGAGCCTGCAGGGCGGGATGCTGGTGGGCGCCCAGGTTGGAAACAGAGCTCTGGTGCTAACTTGCGTGGGGCAAGTAACTTGCAGGTGCTCTCAGTTGTGTCCGCTCATCTTAAACCCCGGAGGCCCCTACCTCGCCCCAGGAGTGTGATTTAGGTGGGAATTGTTTTTGTTTAAGCTCCATCACAGATGCTGAGACTCTGCCAGGGATTTTAGAGTCAAACACACATTCAAGTCCCGATTCCTACATACACTACCTGCAGCATCATGGCGGGGCTTAGCGTCTCGGGTAGCTACCTGTGCAGTGAGGCCTGCAGTGCCACGGAGGACCACAGAGAGGGTTAGCAGAGATTCTGTATTCTTGTACTAATTGAGTGTGTGTGTGTGTTTATATATATAT